TACAGAAAGTTTTTTCTCAAGGTGCCTTATGCAGGCAATAAACCAACCGGTGATCTTTTCCATCGATTGAGGAGCTCGATTCATCATGGACAAAAATGTTTTTTTTTAGAAAAATCACCCAGAACATCGGAAATCTGCTCCGGAGTTGACGGAAGACGAAACACCAATAGAAGCCGCTTTCGTAGATGCGATATTGGATCGTCGACGAAGTAGTGTACCCCCGATTGCTGATGGTATCCTAGCTCCACCGACTCCACCAGCAGCCTCCACTCCATCGTCTACTACTGTGAGACAAGGTAAAAAAGCTCGACTTTTTTGTCTAACTGATTGAAGTCTTTCAGGTTGTACTAATGTTTTTATACTGGCTGAAGTTCTACAGGTTGTACTAATGTTTTGTTTAAGATTCGCCCCAATTTGAAAGACGGAATTCACTTTTACCAAACCGAATCAGTGGACGACAATCGACTCGAAGTATGCGTGGAAAGAGGAAGGTCAGCTGTGGATTTTCGAATTTTTTCCAAAAAGTGAGCAGTCATCAACTTTCTTTTATTAAGACAAGAGCTGTACCGGAGTTCTATGATCACTCTCGCCATCCGAGCATCCGTCTCAAGGCCCCAAGCGCCAAAAAGGTGATTTTCAAGAGCTGACTGATCTGTAGTGCTTGTTGTACCGTTTTCGCTGCTCACTTTTCGGTCTCTGGCGAAAATTCAGTTCATTTTGTTCAGAAGAAGATGACTTTGAGTCGTGTGGAACAGGCAGATGTTCAAGTAGAACTGCTCAATGGTCAGCGTATTGAGGTCAGTCACGCATCACGTACATACGTTCTATAAACAGCCAAGAATTGATAAGGGCGCAAAAGAATTGAAAGAATTCATTTTGCAGTCTGTTCAGTCAACTGATAAGCCTGTTCACTGTTTCCATACGTAGAAATGAAACAGATAGGGAAGCTGTGTAGTAAAAACTGAAACTCATCGATTCATGAGAGTGAGCTAGCTATGTGGTGGTCGTTAACTTCTT